TATATGTATGTGTGTGTATGTATATGTATATATATATATATGTGTGTGTGTGTGTGTGTGTGTTTGTATTTGTATTTGTATGTATATTTTTAAGCATGTCCATGGAACCTAACACAGCCGACGAGGGATGGGGGTGGGAAGACATTGTGGGAACGCATCAACGCAAACAAACCAGCCGTAGTAGAGCCCAAAGGGAAGACCGACTTCCAAATAGTATGTCACAATAGTATGCCAGTCCTCTTTAAATGCCCACTATCACACATATCTGTTGTTGTTATTGCATTGAGTATGCGCGTGTCTGTGGTAATTCGCACAACCAAACCAACAGGAGATTTTAAACCCCTGGGGGAAAGACTTATTCCAGCACAGTATGACAGTCCTCTTTAAATGTCCTCTACCATGCATGGCTGCTTGATTGTGACTTGAGTGAGAGCTCGTTTGTGAAATCACACACAGCACCCATACCAGCAGTAGTGGAACCAAAAGGTGTCCTGTTTCAGTATACACAGTCAAGTGTCTTTTGCAGGATATATACTCGGCTTCGACCGTTGATATGGCAACGTGACCATCACACCCACTCGTCTGGTCTTGTGGAAGGTGGTATCATTGGTACCGAACTGTCAACAACAACAATCGATACGGCTCCACACACAGGCGATCTACTACCACTGTGGAATGCTCATTGCGTTGATTCGTTAAACTTGGTTTAACGCCTCATCCCGAATCTGTACGATGGCTATATTTAGTTTACGTACTGGGTTCTTTACGTTTTCGCACACAGGCTATCAACCAGTACTACGCAAGCATCAAAGAGGAGACAGGCACGGGGGCATCGTTCTTTGCTGTTACTAGAGGGAAGGTACGCAAAACGTAAACGTAACCGAATCCATATGACATGTTTTCACAACAGACACGCGTGCGTAAATGTATGTATACACATACGTGCATGTATGTATATACATACATACATGTATGTAGATACATACATTGCATATACATTTTATATACAAATTGTATGTTTGTATATAAGTACATAGACTCGTATGCACAGATTTGGGCATGATTTTAGCCACACTTGTACACATTTTTATCTTTATCCACGTATATACATACATAGACCCATATACACGAACGTGAGCATGTTGATGAACACACACGTGACATATTTATGCTTATCCACATCATATGCCATACACCACTAGTATTCTTCCTGGGTATGATTGGTTGAGCCTTTGTGTAGGTAGTGTTGCCGTGGTCCATGCTTCCTCTGTTATACGTATCGCTCATTTAATTTGAGGTTTAGGGTGTTGGGTTGAGATGAGACAAAACTCGCCACTGACTCAACTAGCGGTATATCAGTGTACTCTGAGGTGTCTCCAAATGCGGTTAAATCTATTTATATCCACCAATCAGATGAATGCTGGCGTGATATCAGTACACTCTGCCGGTTCTCTGAATATGATTAAATTTATTTATATCCACCAATCAGGTGAGCGAGGGCTTGGATTTTGCCGATGCCAATGGTCGGGCCGTGATCATCACTGGTTTGCCCTTTCCTGCGCTAATGGACGTGCGGGTATGTGCACGTGGGAATGTCATTCGTGTAGTTCATTTACCTAATAATATATACATACTTGTCTTTAGCAAGTTTATTGAATATTGTAAACAGAGTTTGTGTCAAATATTGTAAACATGGTTTATGTATCACATTAAATTTACCTAAGAATATATACATACTTATCTTTAGCAAGTTTATTGAATATTGTAAACATAGTTTATTTATCACATTACATTTACCTAATGATATAAACGTACTTTAAGCATACTTTTTCTTTTAATATAAACATAGTTTGTGTGTCACGTTACATTTACTTAATTATGTTAACACAGTTTGAAAATACTTTGCTTTTAATATAAACATTTTCTTTATGACATTTACCTAGTGTTGTTACTTCTTTTAACGCATTTGTCCAATTGCATACACATACTTTAAAAACAAAATTTAACCATACTTCAAACATACTTTAAACATACTTAAAATATACTTTAATCATATTTTATTCATACTTTAAACACACTTTAACAATACTTTAACCATACTTTAAACATGCTTTGCTCATCACACTTATCTGATGTTTTTACTTCTCTGAACATAATTGTCCAATTATATAAACATACTTTGCTTAGCCCATTTATCTAGTGATATAAAAACTCTGTTTATCTCGCATACTTCCTGTATCATACCTGTATCATCTTTATCTGGTGGTATTAATATAAGCATACTCTGTCTATCTCACATACTTCCTGTATCATACCTGTATCATCTTTATCTGGTGGTAATAGTATAAACATACTCTGTCTATCTCACATACTTCCTGTATCATACCTGTATCATCTTGATCTGGTGGTAATACGCACATGCATCTTTTGTCCTAGTGATATAAACATACTCTGTCTATCTCACATACTTCCTGTATCATAACTGTGGCATCTTTATCTGGTGGTAATAATATAAACATACGCTGTCTATCTCACATACTTCCTGTATCATACCTGTAGCATCTTTAACTGGTGGTAATACGCACATACATCTTTTGTCCAACCCTTACTTATCTTCTATAGAGTGTGCCCGGTTATATGCTGCCCATACAACACCTTTATATATTACATGCACACGCACTATGCATTGTAGGTACTCGCACATACGTTGAAAGACAGCACCTTGTCATTGAAATAAGTATAGCTCCCTCAAAGATATGTGCATACACTTGTTGTTGGCGGCATACCTACATACTATCTGTTGGTATTCGATTAAACACATTGGGCTGCCATCTAGCCTGCATGCGTGTGTGTCTATTCTTGAACAAAGATATAGACATACCTACATTCACCCACCTGGCTGCAGATTGTATGATACCGGTACACTCTTCAGACAAAAAAAAAGGCGGTCGGCCCCACATGTGCGGGACGGTGTAGTTCAATTTCAAACCAATACACTTCCTAATTAGGAAATAAACGCGGCACCCTACTCCTTTACCATTTAAGGTCGTTCACTGACATTGCTACACAACTCATCTCCTACTCAGACAGCAGTTGTCACACACCACGCCAACATTTTGCTATTTACGTATTGCTGTATTTAAACCGTAATCTACCCACCCCAAAGCAGATGTTGTACTCACACAGACAGATCACTGAGATGGAATGCGTGTACAGAAGCACATATCTAAGCTGTGAGGTGTATGATAATGCCACGATCATTTCTTGAGATATTAAACCGTCAAATACCATAAAACCATATCCACAACGCAGGTGGCCACTAAACGACAGTTCATGGATGACATACAGAAGATACACAAGGAGATGGTAGGGCTCTGCTGTCGATATGCGTTTAAAAAATATATGTATGTATA